TTCCACATACTGAGTCCATGGATGCAAGGCAACACACCTCTTTGGCAAATCTTACAATTATTTACAAGCTACATAACAAGTTCCTCTACTTACTATACAATCAGGACTGATTTTTTACCCATACCAGTGTGTTACCCAGCTCCATCAGCCATCTTATCCTCCAGACTTGGCTCAGACTATCTTTCTGGCTCTCTCTGAGAATTCTCAAATTTTCTTACTGGGATGGATATTCTTAACAATGTGCCTCTGGCTCCTCTGACAGTTCCCACACAAAGGTTCTGACGATAGTTTTAGGTGACACCAATAAACATAACCTGATCCTCAAGGCAAGGACTTTGAAGAAGCTATGATTCATCTGTATGTGTAATGTATGTTTATCCCCTTCCTGAAGCCACACTGCAGCATAATGACCCATTTGCATGTTTGTCTCTCCCATCTAGAACATGACTTTGTCAACTACTGCATCTCTCAGAGTAGATGAGCCATTCTGTAAAATGGGGATAATATTGATCTTGTAGGACTGCTGCTGGAAATAAATTATATCATCTGCATAAAGGTCTTATTTTAGAACTACCTGCTATCCATAAAAGCTACTAAGAAGCAACACGAGTTAAACTCAGATGTAAAAATCTGGAAGAAAAATGGGGCTTTTGTGCTAGAAGAGAGCACAGTGAAGTATTTACATTAGAGAACAAGATTTAGTTAAGCCTTCCCTATTTATCATTTATAAAGGAAAAATAATCAATATACATTAACTGAGCAAAGAGAACAAAAAGTCACATTTTTCTTATAAAGAATATCATATTATTGACCGAGAAAGCCTGAAATGAATATTACCTCACTCTGAACTATATTATATATTCCTCGGTTTGTCTCTATTGACACAGTCATCTTTATAGAAAATGGCACTCCAGAGTGTTTGACAGCTTTATTCTTTCAGATGCTTGATGGTCCTGAGGAGCATCAAGCCTACACCTTATCAAAGAAAATTGAGAAAAATGGGGTTTGCCAAAGTATTTGAGCATCTTTCCACATATTTATTAGCTATTTGTGTTTCTTCTGTCAAATGCCTATTTGTGCTTTTCGCCAATGTTTCTATTGATAGTTCTGTCTTCTGCTTTTTAACTATAGTAGTTCTTTACATAGTTCAGATATTAATCCTGTCAGTGTTACATATGGCAAATAATCTCAACTCCAAATTGTGACATGCCTTTTCATTCTCTTGAATGGTACTTTTAAAATGAACAAATATTTTCAATTTAAATCTTTTCCTGTATTCAATGTATATTTCAGATTAGTTGATTAAATCCTTCCCTACTCTGAGATCACAGAGATTATTTTGTCTTCTGAAAGTCTCAAAATTTTGCCTTTCACATTTAAGTTCTTAATCCATTTGAAATTCAGTGATGTAAGATAGAAATTGTCTCCCTTCTTTTCCCCATGTAGATACTCAATTATTGAAAAATCCATTCATCCCCCCAGATTTTACAATACCACATCTGTTGTATATAAAGAGCCCCACAGTCAGCCTATTTTTGCAATGTCTACCCTGTTCCATCAAGACCATTTGTGTATTCCTGTGCCATTACTAGCATCTTAATTACTACAGCTCTATAAAAAGTTTTGATTCTGGTAAAGCAAGCTTACATGACCTATTCTTTTCCTTCAAGTATGTCTTGGCTCTTCCTTGGACGTTTCTGCATTAATTTTAGAATCAGTTTGCCAAGTACTGTGTAAAATACTAATGGGATTTTGAATGGAATTGTATGCAATCTATATATAGACATTTTTTAAGTAAAAGGACATCTTCAGTATATTCAGTCTTCCTGTTCATGAACATAGTCATGCTTTTTGTGAATCTACTAGTAACCATATGAATTTTCTCTTTTATTTATTTATGTATAAATATTTATTTATTTATTTTAGGGGGAGAGAGAGATAGACAGCAGGGGAGGGGCAGAAGGAGAGGGAGAGAATCTCAAGCACTTCTTGCTGAGCATGGAGCTCAGCAGGGTTCAATTTCATGACTCTGAAATAACCACCCAAATCGAATCAGATGTTCAACTAACCAAGCCATCCAGGTGCCCCATGAATTTCCCTTTTATTTTTTTTTATTTTTTTGAATTTCCCTTTTAATATGTTAATATGGTAAGTTATATTAATAGATTTTTCTAGTATTGTCAATCATTTCTGGAATAAATTCAAATTAGTTATTATGAATTATATTTTTTATACATTTGCTACTATTTTGTTTAAAACTTTTACAGTTGTTTATGAGCGAGATTGGCTGATATATTTTTTTTCTTATAAACGTCTCATGTGGCCAAATGTCAAGGTTACACAATCATCACAAGAAAAGGTGAAGTGGGGGCACCTGGGTGGCTCAATGGTTGAGCATCTGCCTTCGGCTCAGGGCGTGATCCCAGGGTCCTGGGATCCAGTCCCACATTGGTCTTCCTGCAGGGAGCCTGCTTCTCCCTCTGCCTGTGCCTTGGCCTCTCTCTGTGTGTCTCTCATGAATGAGTAAATAAAATATCTTAAAAAAAAAAAAGGGAAGAAGAAAAGGTGAAGTGCATTCCCTTTTCTTTCTAGACTCTCAAGAAGTTTGTCTAAGGTTGAAATGATCTGTTCCTTGAGGTGTTTGATAAAACATAGCTGTAAAGCCATCTAAGCTGAATGTTTTGGGAGAAAATATATTTTATGTACTGATTTAATTTCTATAAATTAAATGACCTATTCGACTGTTCTCATTTTGATTCAATTTTAGTAAATTATATTTTACTGTCCATTTCATCCTGGTTTTTAAATATTGGCATAACACTGGTAATAGTATTTTTTTTTTACTGTTTTTAAAAATCTCCACTGCAAAAAAAAAAAAAAAAAAAGACAGAAAGAAAAGAAAATCTCTGCTGCATCTACTCTTTGTGCTTGTTGATCTTTAGTTCACTAAAGATTAGTGTGTTTAATTGACCATATTTTAAAAAAAAAATTACACAGAAGGTATATTCTTCCTTATCTATAAGAAGGAGGTAACAACAGAACCTACTACACACTGATAGAGTGAGGATTAAATGAGTTAATAGATGCAAAGTGCTTAGCATAGTGCCTGGCACATATTAAAGAGCTCAAAAAAAATACCATGATTATATTATAGGGAATTCAAATTACACTAATATGATATCCTTTTTTTTTTTTGTTCTACTGAAGTTTAATTCTCCATTGTAATAGTAAGTATAGACTAGGCTCTTTCAACTGTACTTTTATTCTTTTTAAGTTTTATTTATTTCAGTAATCTCTACACCCAATGTGGGGCTCAAACTCACAATCCCAAGAGCTGGAGTCACATGCTCCTCTGACTGAGCCAGCCAGGTGCCCCTCAACTGTACTTTTATTCTAACTGGCCTCATAAAGCTGCGGCAATAAATCTGGATGGCAATCCTCTTACTCTCAAACTGTGTTTAAGCCCTGATATTATGAACAGTACTTCTAGTTTAAAATAAAATGCAAAACAAAGCAAGAAGCCTACTCTGGGATGTTTGCCCCTCCAGGGCAGACCCATGCTTTTATCACCTACTATGTGCTATGAGTCTGGCACAATAAAAAAAATTGTGAGTTCTTGACAAGCTAACAATACCAAAGAATTAATAAAATAATGAAAACTAACAACCTCACAAAGTTTTTATTATTAGGCACCTTGTATTCATGGGTAAACACACAATTGATTTTATCCACAGACCCTTCATTAGGCAAATTCTCACACTATAAGAAGGTTTTTCTATCCTCTTTAACAGAGTTACCTGATAGGCATTCCATTCTTAGTTAATTTCTGTATGCAAGCTTAACCTCAAAAGAAACATAATGCTATTTATGGATATTGAACTTCAGTTAATAATATACATACACTAATATTTAGGAGGATGTATAATGATGTCTGTGATTTACTTTAAAATGCATCAAAAAATACAATGGATTGATGGATAGCACATGGGATGAGCAGATGAATAAATATGTGCCAAAGCAAGCATAGTCAAGTGTTCATTGCAGAATCTAGACCAGATTATATGGGTGTTTACTGTCTATGTTTGAGAATTTCTGTAATAGAATATAAGGAAAGAGGCAAACTCCTCTACTTGGCAAGTTAAAAAAAAACTAAAATAAAAAGAACATGAAAAATATTTATATTATATATGTAGCAAAAGTTATTACAATATAAAAGACCCCATTCCAATTTATTAAAAAACAAACAAAAAAAAACCAAGAGTCTTATAAGATAAATGGGAAAAGACATTAACAAAATATAAATGGGAAATAAACCCATGGAAAATATGCAGTAACTTCTAACCAAAGAAAAATAAAATAAACCTGCAATACCATTTTATGCCTATTTTATTAGCAAAATTAAAACACATATGCATGAATACACACACAATTCTGGCAAGGCTGCAGTAAAAATGGAAACTCACATATAGCTGGCAGCATTCACTATCAACAAGCATAGTGTGTTTGGGGAGCAATCTGAGTCCGTAAGTCATAGTGTTCATCAAGTCATTTGACCTGATGGTCCTACTCATTAGACTACAAACTGCATCCACCAAAAGTGGCCAAAAGGTGTTCACTGCAGTTTTATCTACTAAAGAATTAAACTCTGAACAACCTAAGTGGCCATCAAGAGAAGAAAGGTTTAGTAAAGATTTCAGATCAGTACAACAGAATAGGATACAGACATGTAAAAAATGACAATGATGGAAACTTATGTGAAAATATGTAAAGTGTTCATAACAAAACCAAATGGAAGACTATTTACAATTGATTTTGAAGCTCTAAGAATGAAAGAAACGTGAAGTGGCACTGTAAAGAAACACGAATAATTAATGAAAGTGACATGTCGAGGAGACTGTGGCTGATGTTTTTTTTTTTCTAAAATTGTCTTTCATCTTTCTGATCCATCTTTCAATTAAAATAAAATAATTAAAAAGCCTATCTCAAGACTGTCTACTCACAGTGCTGAGTTTGCTGCAGACGATGAGAATCCGGCGTTCGTACAGCATGCTGGCATACAGATGTAACATGTTGTTTACATCCACGGCCACAAAATATTCTGTGAGATTTCTCTAGGAGAAACAAGAAGAGGAGATCAGTGGCTTATTTTGTTTGTTCTTATTATAAGCAGCATCTAAAAAAATACGAGAAACAGAAAATTATCGGAAAGCATACTCTGCTCTGCCCCATCCTATGCTTTCCACCTGGGAGATCAAATCCCACTCTTGTGTAATATCCTGAAATGCAAAGTTGGGAGAAACCTTAAAGATGAAGCACTCCTGTGCAGTGATTACAGTTTACATGAGGTCACAGGGAGCACTGCATTGCTTTGCCTATGAGTTCCAAAAGGTGAGCAGGACAGGAAGCCTACAATCTTACAAATGAGGAAACCAAGCCTCAGAGAGGGATGCCAAAATCAAAAAGTCTCATAAGCAATAAAGACAGGACTGCAGCTCAGACCTTCTGACCCTGGATCCTAGAACTTTCCCAATGTGCTGTACCATACATCTAGGCAAGACAAAGTACCCAAGGACCAAAACGCTTTTGGCATAGAGCCCATTTCTGTCCAACAGATCCCACCCGGAAAGCTGGGCATGCTCTTCTCTTGTCATCACTGCCGTTGACCCCCTCCTCCACCATTTACGTTCTCTAAAAGGACTCGGCTGGAATTAGAGCAATTTCGAAGATTTACAATCTCCAGGTATTTCACTCAAGAGGAGCAAAAAATGACTGCAGACAAGCAGCAGGAAGTGATGACAAAGCAGTGTTTTAACTAGCTTTTGTCTGTAGCTGGGGCTTCATTTCTTTAATTACTACTACAGATTGGTACTCTTCAGATTTCAGAAAAAATATAATGTGTTTCATTTCTGCAACCCTTTCTCTACCCACCTGACTTTAATAATACACATGAATATGTTAATATCTTCAATGTTACAGGTTTTCAATGCTGTACAATATAATCTTCTGAAAAAGAAGGGGTTCAGGGAGGCAAGGAACACTACTTGCCAGGGGTTGCAGTTTATAATGATGAAAGAGCTATAATTCATAAATTCAAGTAAACCAGGTGGATTTTACTGCAAAATAGCATAAAGTGCTTTTCAACAATATTACGGGTTGGGAATAAGAATAGGCACTTATAATTTATTGTTGTTTGACTGGAATACCAGGTTAACCATCAACCTTTATAAATAGTGAGTGAATTAATAGCTCCATATACTGACTACCTACCTGCCAAGTACCAGGTACCATATCAGGTACTTCGTATAGGTAATCTTATGCAGTTCTCACAGAACTCCAAGGAGGTATTCCCCTAGCCCCCACCCTTCCCCCTCCAACCCGTATACAGATAAAGTAAGCCTGGGAGAGATTCAGTAACTGGTGGAGTCAGAATTTGGACTCAGATCCAACTCCAGAGCCCATATACTTTGCCTTACATTACATTGTTCCACTTAAATATTTTTAAAGATGTGCAAGACACAAAAGCTTTACATATATTATGTCACTTAATCTCGAAACCACTGCTTGAACAGGTATTATCATCTCTACAATACAGATAGGAAAACAGAGGTGACAGAGAAAATGAATAGGATCAAGGTTATCCACTATGTGGATGTTCAGTCTTGGGTGAGTTTGTCTCTAAACCTGGGCTCTTTGTTTATGTCAGTATGAATAGCAGGTAAAAGTTGTATTCAGGAAAGAAAGCACAGCATAGGAACAAAGCAGGATCAAAGTACACCTATTGAAAGAGAAAAAGGATCGCTGTGAAGAATTGCTATCCCATTTTTTGAGTAATCATCATGTGCTAAACAATAGGTTCTTTACCTGTGTTCTCTCCAATCTTCTCAACAACCCTGAAAAAGGCATTATCATCTCCACTTTATAGATGAAGAAACTGAGGCCCAGGAAGGGCAAGTTGTCTCCAAATGTCACCCAGCTAGAAATCTAAGGCAGAGCCCTGTTTCAAAACCAGGTCTCCTGAATCTGAAACCTTTGCTCTAACCACCACACAAACTTGCCCCCCTGACAGACTTGAAAAACAAAACCAAACGAATAAGCAATACAGTCTGAAATAGTCAACAAGTGCAAGTGCAAGTCTCCTGCCCGGTGGACTGAGGAGTGCTGAGCTAATGGTGTCAGGGTGGGGTTCGTTCTGAAGACCGTGACATGGCAGAGCTATTCTCGCAAACAAAAATACAAGGCCCTCAGCTGAGCATTTCAGTAAAAATGCTTAACTGCTGATGAATTACATAAATTTTTCTTTTAGGAGAGGATGGAAGTAAAAAGAAAATAGAAATGAGAAGCTTAAGGAAGGCCAGAAAGCCCATTAGCACTTTTGACAGATCCAAAGATAACTCTGAAGCCACCAAAACGTGGCCTCAAGAGTCTGCCAAGAAGCTTCACGCTGGGTAGAAATATGTTACACAGCTTGCCGTCCAAATAAGGAGACACAGCGTCAGAGACAAATCCTGCACCTTATTTTGGTGGGAGAAAAAAAAAATCAAAAGGATACTTTTGTGGATGGGAAAGGAAACATTTCTGAAATCAAAACACCACTTGGTTGAGGCATAACCCCCAGGCCCAATCAGGTTCTGAGGGATTCAGGTGCTTGTTCCAAAAGTCTATACAGGTATGTTAAAAATATGTAACATTTAGCCAAATTCTCTCTAAACTGTCATGTACTTTTTTTGGTATTTCTCATCCCATCTGTGCTGATTACCAAGATATTTGTGTCTAAACAGAAGCTGTCTTTCTTATCTGCTTCCTCCCCTGCCTCTTTCCTTCTGGGATGCCACCCGTCTAGGGGGGTGGGAGTGGGTGAGTGGCGACAGCCCTGGGGACTTCACTCAGCCGTGGGAGCACCTGTGGGGCAGAGCAGACCTTGGGAGCAGCTGTAGGGAGAATTTACAGTTTCCAGCAAGCTTCATCTCTGAAGAAAACCCCTAGGAGAGAGGAGTCTCCCCTCCTGTACCTTAAGCACCTAGTGGCTTAAGCCACACCAACCCTCAGTTTCTCAAACCTGCCACACCTTTTCATATCCTCAAGCCTCTAGTTTTTTTCTTTAAATTTTTAAAAAAAAAATTTTAAAGATTTTATTTATTTATTCATGAGAGACACAGAAAGAGAGGCAGAGACACAGGCAGAGGGAGGAGAAGCAGGCCCCATGCAAGGAGCCTGATGTGGGATTCAATCCTGGGAATCTGTGATCACGCCCCGAACCAAGTCAGATGCTCAACCGCTGAGCCACCCAGGCATCCCCATCAAGCCTCTACTTCTGTTGTTTCCTCCTCCTAGAACGCCTCTTTCTTCCTTGAGGATATCCACTTACTTTTCAAGACCCAGCTGAAATGTCACCTCCTCCTAGAAGGCTTCCTCAATTCCACATTTGTCAATCTCCTACACTTTGTGCTGGCATAGTGATTTGTCTCTATCTTATAACCACTTGGTGACAAGTATGTTTTTGTCACTAGGCTGAGGTCCTTTGGGAACAATGACATATCCCATCATCTAACAGTTTTATAAAATAATGAATCAATAAGTAAAGAAAGCAATGACTGAAGACCTCAGCTCCTGAGCTGGAGTTTGAGCAGTGTAGTGTAAGAGAAATCCACCAGGCTGAAAGACAGACAACATGGTTTATTAGGAAGAACATAGCATTTGATGTCAGAAAACCTGGCTCTAGTTTGGATGAAGTGATCAATTACTTAGTAATGGTGAAGGGCTCAAGGGAAAGAATTGACACTGGCACCTCACAATGTCAGGTAAAATAGCTGGGGGCTTGGGGGTTGCTGTTTAAGGTATTTATGGCTACATTTATTAAAAGCGTAAAGGAAGGGCATCCTGGATGCTCAGTTGGTTGGGTATCCGAGTTCTGATTTCGGCTCACATCATGATTTCGGGATCGTGGGATCAAGCCCTGTGTTGGGCTCCGTGCTGGGCACGTAGCCTGCTTGGGATTTTCTCTCTATTCTCTCTTTCTGCTCCCCTCCCCCTCCCCCACCTTCCGTGCATATGCTCTCTCTCTCTCTAAAAAACTAAAAGTGTGAAGATATAGGTGGTTTGTTCACCAGATCATGGGGAAGGGGGTTCATACAGAAGCAGGTATTCAATTCACAGCCAGGTCAATCATGTCTTATAGATAAGAGTGCAGGGAATGAGGAATAAGGTGAACAGAGGGCTTCCATGGCAAGTTGTCCTATGTCAAGATTGCAGCTAGAACATACTGTGAGCTTTTATTTCTAAAGGACACAAGGCATACCACTCTCCTAGCACTTTGCTTTAGTCTCCTGTAATTTCTGTCTCTGTAATCAGCCAATCAATGCTTATTTAACTCCTACTATGTGTTTAGTAGCCTCCTTGGAGCTGGGCCTGTAAAGATTAACTGCAGATGATCCCCATTTTCCAGGAGTTCAGCCTGGGGATGGGAATGGCATCAGTATGGTGTGCAAAGTACTGTGGTTAAAGCTACATACATTCCAGGGCTGCCTGAAAAGGGCAGATTCAACCTTGCTGGATGGATACTGGGACAAGGCTGGGGAAGGTTTGACAGAAGAGAAGATAGCTGGTGTGGGCCTCCCAAAAGGGGTTCACTCAATGGACAGGGGGCGAAGTGTGTTCCATGCAAAGACAGAAGCAGGGAGGAGAGAGGAGCTCCAGCAAGTCAGTACAGTGAAGAAGAGGATGCAAGGCAGGGAGGGATATGCTAGGGCAGGGGAGCTGGGTTCAGATCCTGTGGGACCTTAGCCTTTCCCTGCAGGTAAGAGGGAGCTGCTGAAGGATCATGATACAATCACTATGTGTTCCAGAAAGATCTTCCTAGAGGTCCTATGGAGGATGCACAGGAGCGGTCAAGCAGGAGGCAGGGCGATCACTTAACAGGCTACTGCCATATTCTGGGAAAGAATGATTACAACAAATAAACTACTGAGATGAAAGCTTTGAATATGGATGTGACTAATCTATGTAAAGTGAAATTATAGGACCTGATAATGAATCAGACCTGAGAAGTGGAAGGGGAGGAAGAACCACAGACTACACCCAGCTTCCAGGTTACTGAGCACCACACTTGTCCACT